TTTTTTTGTAGGGCGCGTGTGCAGGCTTTGCCGTCAGCGTGGTGGGAACCCTGTGGATGTCAATCGGAGGCATCTTGAGGAACACAGTAGCTGACGTACCCGGCCGCCGACCCTCAACGGAGAACTGTCCTGTCCCCGGCACCACAACGCTAGTGCCCCAAATGACGACGCTAGCGCCCAATATGAGTGCGACGCCTGCGCCTGCCCCAATGCCGGACAGAGGATTCAGTTTCTATGATCTCTCCTTCCTCTGGCTGACAGCTTTCGCCCTGGTGATCGGATTCGTGGTCGCCAGCATTGTCAGCCTTATCTCAGGTAGGTTACTTGTGACCCATACACAGCAGAACCTTTTCTCCTTTTTGCCAGTGATTTTACGTGAGCATAAATACCACACAACTTATCTACAGATTATTAACTCAACGGTGCCAGGCATCACGTTCACGCTCGAAAAAGATATTAACAGTAAATTCCCATTTCTCGTCGTCCTCGTACAGCGGAATACTGACGGAACATTCTAATCATCAGTTTACCGCAAAAGTGCACACGCGGATTCTATCCCACATTAAGAGAGCAACCACCCTGTTGCGCTCAAACGGAGTACTGTTTCCACCCTAATCAATCGAGCAAGAACGCATTATTATAGCCCCGAACTTTATCAAGCCGAACTCAATCACCTGTCTAAAGTGTTTTCAAAAAACGGTTACCCCAGAGGGTTCGTGCGTCAATACAGGAGACGGCAGCAGTTAAAACAAAAAGAAAAGGAACTGGATTGTCCTAATCAGGGCCCAATCCAAAAAGTTGGCTAACACTTCCATATATCAACCCATTACCTCCCATAATTTTAACCACTTTGATTTTTGTTATGAAACTTGGATACCTATGGTACTTTTCAAACTTGTGTATAAATTAATTTTAGAGCGGATTTTTTAAAAATCTCACGTGGATATCAAAGAAATATACCTAATAGATGTAGCATGAAGGTTAAATATGCGTATATACG